GGCTGTTGTGCATAGGGTCGCTATGAGTCGCAAACGACTCGACAGCACATAACAACAACAACAACACGTTCATGAGAGATATTGACCTATATTTTTCTATTTTATTTATCTAAATCATATTTGATGGAAAATTTCTTTACCTGGTTTTGGTATCAAGGATATGTTTGCTTCATAGAATGAGTCTGGAAGAATTCCGCCTTTTCTATTTTCTGAAATACATTATGTAGAACTGATAACAGGTCTTTTCTGAATGTTTTAGAAAATTCACTTGTAAAACCATCTGGTCCAGAGATATTTTTTTTTCAGCTAGAAATTGTTTTATTACATTTTTAATTTCTTCTTTTGTAATGGGTCTGTTCAGGTGTCCAATTTTGGTTTCTTTCAGTTTAGGTAGGTTGTGAATTTTTAAGTATTTGTCCATTTCCTCTAAGTTTTCATATTTCTCTGAGTATAGTTTTTCCTAATACTGCAATATTAGCCTTTTTATTTTAGTTGATTCTGTTGTGATGTTGCCTGTTTCATCATTTATTTGTCTTTTCCTTCTTTTTCTTTGTTAGTTTTGCTAGTGTTTTCTCAATTTTATTGACCTTTTCAAAGAACCAACTGATATTTCCTTGATGGTTTCAATTGTTTTTCTATTTTCTATTTCATTTACTTCTGCTTTAATTTTTATAGTTTCCAGTTTTTTAGAAGGTGTGGGGTTTTCTAGTTGTTCTTTTTCAATTTGTTGGAGATGTTTTGTCAGAGATTCAATGGTAATTTTTCCCCCTGCCTTTTGATGTGTTTGATTATTGCTATAAATTGACTTCTCATTCCGGCTTTGGATATGTCCCAGAGGTTTTTGGTAATTGGTGTTTTCATTGTCATTTGTTTAAAGAAACTTTTTAATTTTTTATTTCTTGTAGTACCCATTCATGTTTAAGCAAGGTATTGTTCAGCTCCCAAATGTATGGGGTTTTTTCTCCTTTATCCTTTTGCTATTAATTTCTAATTCTGTGGCATTGTGGTCTGAAAAGATGCTTTGTATTCTTTCTTTGTGTTTTTTTTTTTTTTTAAATTCTTGATTCCTGCCTTGTGACCTAAAATGTGATCTATTCTGGAGAACGTTTCATGCACATTGGAGAAGAAGGTAAACTATGCTTTTTTTTGGATGCATTAGTTTATAAATATCTATGAGATCAACTTGGTTTAATGTGTGGTTTAATTCTCTAGCATCTTTGTTGAGTTTCTTTCCAGTAGCTTTCTCTTTTCTTGAGAGTGGTGTACATAGGAGTGTTGTCTATTTCTTTTTTCAGTTTTGTTAATGTTTGCTTCGTATATTTTGCAGGTCTTTCACTTGGTGCATAGACATTTGTAACGTTTTTTAAGTTGAAATTTATTTTATCAGAGATTAATATTGCTACTTCTGCCTTTTTTTCTGGTTGGCATTTACTTGTTTTATTTTTTTTTCTCCCATCCTTTTAATTTTAGTATTTCTTTTTCTTCATTTTTCAAGTGTATCTCTTGTAGTGTAGACAGCATATTGATGGATTTTGGGGTTTTTTTCCCCAATCTGCTACTCTTTTTCTCTTTAGCGGTGCATTTAAACAATTCACATTCAATGTGCTTACTGAGAGGCAAGGTTTCATTGCTCTCATTTCATTGAATTCTTTTTGATGTTGTTGCTCGGTACTTTGGTCCATCCTGCTTTCTGCGGTATCTCTGTAAGAAGGATGTCTCTCAGTGTTTCCTGCAATTTCGGTCTTGTTTTCACAAACTCCCTTAGGTTCTGTTTTTCTGGGAATATCTTGATCTCTCCTTCATATTTGATGGAAAATTTTGCTGGGTACAATGTTCTTGATTGACAGTTGTGTTCTTTGAGTGTTTGATATATTCCATTCCATTGTCTTCTTGCTTGCATGGTTTCTGCTGAGAAATTGGCACTTAATTTTATTTGCTCTCCCTTATATGTTACTCTTTGTTTCTCTATTGCTGCTTTCAGAATTTTCTCCTTATCTTTCATTCTGGCAAATTTGACTGTGATATGCCTTGGTATTTTTCTTTGAGGGTCAATTCTGTATGGTGTTTGCTCAGCTTCTTGAATATATATTCTCTCTTTCTTTACTATGCCTGATAAATTTTCTTCTAGTAATTCTTCCACAACTTTTTTGGTACCTTTACTTGCTTCTTCCTGTTCTGAGATTCAATTAAGTGCATATTATTTCTCTTGATAATGTCCCACATTATTCTTAGGTTTTCTTCTTTTTCTTTCCTTTTTGATTCTTGTTTGTATTCTAGCAGATCAATGATGACAAATTTATCTGCTATTTCACTGGTTCTGTGTTTCATCTCTTCAATTTTGTCATGTGTCCCTCCATCATGTTTACAGCATCTGAAACATTGGACCTCATATTTTGGATCATGGTTTCTTGTTTTTCCAGTGCCTCTAGTGCCTCATTTGTTTTATCTGCATTGTTTTGGATCTTATTTTAAGCTCCTCCTGGTTTTTGCTTGCAGTGTCCTATAATTCTTTGTCTTTCATCCATTGAAAACATTCTTTGAAATTCTGTGTCAGAAAGTTCCATCAGACTTTCTGTCTTCAGGAAATCCATTGACACTGTGTCATTTTTTTTTGGGGGGGGGTGCGTGATATCTTGCTTTGGGCTTGTGTATGGTGTGAGGTAGCCTGCTTCTTTTGTGACATTGCTGTGGTAAAGATTTTCATGCCTGAGGCAGTCTCTAGTTCTTGATCTGAAGTCACTTCTCCAGAAAATGGTTGAGCAGGCACTTGTGCACAGATGCACATAGGGTGGATTCATGCACAGATGTATGAGGGGTGGGTGGAGGTACAAGGGGAACCTGAATGGAAAGCCAGAAAGCCTTAGTTTTCCCCTTGAGAACTGGGTCTGCCACCTCAGTCAAGCTCCAGCTGTCTCACTCCCTCCTGCTTAAGGTTAAGGGGTCCCACACTGTCCAGCAATCAGCAGTGATCTCCCCTAAGTAGTTCACTCAAATTCCTGATGTCCTGCTTGCTCCTTGCAGGTGGGTTCAGCTATGACTTGCTGCTCCCCTCCAAGGCTCACTGTTCCTCACTGAGGCTCGCTGCTCCCTATAGAGGCTTGCTGCTCCTTGATGAGGCTCACTTCTCCCCTCCAAGGCTCACTGTTCCTTGCAACTCGCAAACTAATTGTTTTAATAACAGTTCTCACTCAAATTCCAGCTGTCTTGCTCACTCTGTGCACGTTGCTCTGTTGCATCTTTTTATGTTGGAATCTTTCTTGCAGCAATGTTTTATCAATTTCTTATATCCAAGCCTGAACTTCCTAGTTCTTACTTGAATAGGCCTCTGGATACCTTTGGGTATCATTCCCTTGACAATAGAAAGAACTAATACCCCAACGTCTTACTTTGACACTGACATTTAAGTAAAAACTAAGCTTTTGTTCTTGCTTTTGGCCTAGTGTGAACACTAGACTAACATTATTGGAAAATAAAAGATTTTACTGTAAATATGAAATTATTAAGATAGCATCCACCAGGAAGTGGACAAGTAACTTTCCTTCCCCTTCCTCATACAGCATTCTTCTAGAAGAGCACTCACTCAGGCCCAATAGCCCTCATTGCCAGCAATTCAGAATCATATCTGACCCTCCAGTGGATTTTCCAAAGCTGTAAACCATACATGAGATTTCCCATCTTTCTACTCATGAATCTCTGGAGGATATGAACTCCCAGAGAGGAATCACCCCTGGGTTAACAGCACAACTCCCTACATACTAAACCTCTAGATCTCCCTAAGAGCTCATCCAGGTATGCAATTGAAACATCCATAGGTTAAGCTGTTAAGTATTAATTGACGCTAACTTTTTTTATTTTATTTTAATTTAGTTTGTTTATTTTTCATTTCAATGAACATCTACAGAGATTTTGGAATTCCATTCATTCATTGTTGCACCCTACTCCCCACACAAACCCCTCCCCCCCCCCGTTTGCTCCTCTCCTTGAAAAGCAAAAGAAAAACTCCCTCATTGGTTGACGCTAACTTTTGAACTGATCAGTGACTCTAGCTGTTACCCATTGTTTTGAGCCCCTTAAGATGAAGTATTTAACAGGTATCAACCAATCAGAATTGTTTTTTTTTTCTTTTCAGTCTCTTAATTTTGTATATTTAACTCTGAAAATTTTCTTTGACTGCAGTGCTTCCCTGAGTCCTTATAAAGTGCTGGCCAATACTAGATCTATGTGTTCTTTCAGTGATGTTGTTGTTGTTGTTATGTGCCTCGAGTCGTTTGCGACTCATAGCGACCCTATGCACAACAGCCCTAAACCCTGCTCTATCCTGCGTCAACCGCACTGCCTCTGACATACCCATCCCGATTGCCCCAGTCACCGACTCAATCCATCTCATAGAGGGTCTTACCCTCCTGCGCCATCCCTCCACCCCCGCAAGCATGATGTCCCTCTCCAAGGACCCGTCCCTCCTGGCAACATGTCCAAAGTATGCAAGATGAAGCCACAGAATCCTTGCCTCCAAAGAGTAGCTTGGTTTAATCCTCTCCAAGATGAATCTGTTTGTTTTTCTGGCAGTCCATGGTACATTCAGTACCCTTCTCCAGTACCACAGCTCAAAAGCATCCACTCTCCTCCTGTCCTCCCTAGTCATTGTCCAACTCTCTGAACTCTTTGCCTTAATTTTAACTGAAGTTTCAGTTGTTCTACGGTAATAGCTTCTTACCAGATAGCCACCAGAGCTCCTTTATTTGTGTGATAGAGGTGAAAAAAGCCTTATTCATATGCCAGAAGTTAAGCTTTTCCCTTCTATCACAAACTGGGTGGACATGTCTCCCACTCTCAGAACTCCTTCAAGATAATTTTGTTATTGTTATGTGTGATCTAGTCATTTCAAGGTCATGTCTTTGTATAAAAACATTAGCAGCATAAACAAAGCATTTCCCAAATCTTGATCATTCCTTCCACTGGGCTCAACTCAGAGATAAGGCCAAATGAGAAAATACACCTACCTGAATCTTCCCAGGTCCCATGTTCTTCACTGGTGGAGGTTGGCAAGGTGTGTGCACTATGAAAAGCTGCTTTCTTAATGAGGCAGAGCTGACATCATTAAAGGCAAGGACCTCCACGGTAAATTCCCCTTCCCTAAAAGGAGAGATGCAAATAAATGAATAAACTAGTGTCTCTAAATGTTAATATCCATTGATTACATATTCATCCTAATCATCATTATTGCCATTATTGAAGGAAGTCAAATCCATCTGTTGAAAAAGATGAGACAAAAGTGCTGATGCTGACTTCCACATCTGCCATTTCACAGCCTATTAATAGAATGGCTTCCATTCAGCATGAATCAAGACAGGGGCTGAGTTCCTAAACTGCTGCCACAGAGGTCACTGGGGTTGCCCCAACACCCTCCATTCCTGATAGATAGTGTGGCAATCAGGGAAAAACTAGTCTTGAGACTCACTGGAGACCATTGAAGACAATTACAGACTTTAAGAGACAGGCTGCTACCTGTTACTAGAGACCTAAAAGTGTGAGCACATAGAGGTACCAGGAGCAGCCCCCAGCACCATAGAAAATGCATTAATCAGGGAAAACCAATTACTAACCACTCCTCAGACTACTAAGGACAATAATAGTAGTCCTCCAAGGACTACCAAAGACTCTAGGAGAGGTAGGACTCAGTCAGGCAAGATTCCTCCAGGGCTGTGCTGCAGATCAGAAAGAACTTGAAGGACTTTAGGAAAGGTGGGCTTTCCTGTTGCACTAGAACAGAAATGACAAGTGGTAAAGTGAGTTGCCCTCCCCCATAAAGAGAACACTTTAAGTCAGCAACTAATCAATAACAGAATAAGGAATTGTTAAAAACCTACACAGACATAATAGAAACAGACTAACATATACCAAGAAAAGTTATACATAATGTCAAGAAAGCAGTGGGTAGCTTCAAACATTGTAAAAACAAAACCAAGGCAAACCAAAAAAGCATTCTCCTTAAAAAGCAAATCATATTGAAGACCTAATGAATAGCCCAGAGACAGGGAGCCAGAAGAAATATATTGGTATAAAGTCATATATAAAGCTATTGAAAACACAAATGAAGGAAGAAGAAATGAAGGCATAAATAAAGTGAGTACACTAGAGACAGGGAACTAGAAGAAATATATCAACATGGAGCCACATAAACAGCTACTGAAGAAGGTGAAATGGTAGAAGAAAAAAATCAAAGCAACAAAGAAAGTGAATACCCCAGATACAGGAAACCAGAAGAAATATATAGATGTGTAGGCCCATGAAAAAATACTGAAGAAATTATAAATTATGGAAGAAAGAATTGAAACCATAGATTAAGAGATACAAGAATTTTTTTTAAAAAAACCACAAGTCAGAGAGGGTACAATCAACACAGTACTGGAAATATCAGATATGCATGACAATGCAATTCAGAATATTACAACCAAAATGGCAGAAGTTTCCAACATGCTGGAAGAACAAAAAAGGAGAACAGAGAGATGGTATTGAAAGTCAGGTGAGCTGAAAGACAAGAACCTCAGTGAGAACATACTAAAAGAAAAAAAAATAGGAAGAGGATGTAAGGAAAATAATGGAAGCACTGGAATCTTTTGGGATAACATAAAAAAGAACAATATAGTGGTGTTCAGAATTCCATAGCAAGAGGGGAGCTGAAAAAGCACTGAGAAACTTGTGGAAAGGTACTAGAAGAAAACTTCCCAGATACCATGAAAAGTGAGGAAATCTACATTCAAGAAGCTCAATAAACCCCAAACAGACTAGACCCCCAAACAAAAAACATCAAGATACAGTCAAATTCTTCAAAATCAAAGACAATGATAGAATACTAAAAGCAACAGAATAAAAGCAGATAGTAACCTACAATAAGATTAAGTTCTGATTTCTCAGTAGAAACCATGAGAGAGAGAAAAATGGCATATACAGAAGACTGAAAGAAAACAATTGCCAGCTTAGGATTCTGTACTCAGAAAAGTTGCCCATCAAATATGAAGGAGAAATTAGGTCATTCACAGAAAAGGAGAAACTAAAGGAATTTGTGAAAAGAAAAACAACTCTACAAAAAATTATAAGGAAAGTCCTTCACACAGAGAAACCAAAGGAAAAGGTATGGACCAAAGTAACTAGAAACAGCAGAAAAAGAAACACAGCAAAGAGGCAATAATAAAACCCTGTCTGTCAATAATCATATGTAATGTAAATGGCTTAAATGCACCAATCAAGAAAAAGAGAGTAGATGAATGGGGGGGGGGGAACCCCAACACAAAAATAACAAAGTCCTGAGCTCTTCTTGTGAGACATGCTCTTCAGGGGACTTTAAAATTGCTCTGCTGCAAGATGCCAAGGCTTGTGTGGCATGACCAGCTTGGGAGAGTCTTCCATCCATTGCTTCCCCTGCATCTGCTAAAGGCTGTGACCCAGCCCAAACACACTCATACCCTGGCCTGCCTGCTAAGTTGAGGAGCTGTGGTTTTAGTGTTGCCAAGACCACAGTCTTAACCAGAGCACTAGACAGCTTACCCCACTGCCTGGAGATCCCACTGCCTCCCCCCACTAGGGAGATCGCCCAGGTGCTGCCCCTTAGTTCTCACCAGAAGAACCAAGATCACAGCTAGTTTGGCCTTAAACATTGCTGTCTAGCTATATCACATGGGATTTCTAAAGCTCAAGCAGAAGAGGCCCAGTGGAGCTACTGTTTCAGAAGTGCAACAGTCATCCAGTTCCAGGTTGACTGTTTTTCCCAAGAAAGGAATACCTAGTATATACAGGTACTTCACAAAACATTGTCATTATATAGTTACAACAACATAGCATCTATTCAGAAAAGACTCAGATCCTATCAAGAAAGCAGCAGTCGGCTTCAGTCATGATGAAAAAAACCAAAATAACCCTTCTGAAAAAGCAGACCCAATGAGTTCTACAAACAGAGAGAACAAGAAGAAATATGCTTATATGGAGTTATTTGAACACTTACAGAAGAAGATGCAACTGTTGGAAGAAACAATGGAAGGCATTAAGAGAGCAAATACCCTAGAGACAGTAATTCAGAAAAAAAAAAATAAAAAATAAAAAAAAATATATATATATATATATATATTAAGAGCAACTTGAACAGCTATGTAAGAAAATGTAAAAGATGGGAGAAAGACTTGATAGTATAAATAAAGAGGTACAAGAACTTTAAAAAAATCATCACAAGACAGCGAGGTACAGCCAAACTGTACTGAAAATAATAAAAAAAGCATGAAAATACATTCCGGAATACTAAGACAGAAATAGCAGAAGTGTCAACACACTGGTGGAACAAAAAGTAGAACTAAAGATATGGAACACAAAGTCAGTAAGCTGGAGGACAATAGCCTCACTGGAAACATACTTGAAGAAAAATCAGAGATGAGTCATAAAGAAAATGAAGAAAACATTATAATTATGTGGGATAACATCAAAAGAAACAACATACATATAATTGGAATTCCAAAACTTGGGAGTGACAGGGAAGTCACTGGCAAAATTGTGGAATTAGTACTAAAAGAAAATTAGTATTTTGAAGAATAAGGAAATCCACATTCAAGAAACACAGCAAACACCAAATAGACTAGACCCCAAAAGAAAAAAAACATCAAGACATATCATAGTCAATTTTTCAAAAAACCAGATAAACATAGAATACTAAAAGCATGGGGAAAAAACAGAGTCACCTGCAAAGGTGACAATTATATAAAGTTCTGATATCTCAGTAGAAACCAAGCGAGCTAGAAGACAATCAGATGACATATACATACATTTGAAAGAAAACCATTTTCAGCCAAGGATTCTATATCCAGCAAAGCTCTCCATCAAATATGAAGGAGAAATCAGAACTTTTGCAGAAGAGAGAAACTTAAGGAATTTTAAAAATAAGACCCAAACTACAAAATATATGAAGTCAAGTCTTTCACATCAAAGGATAGTGGATGGGCCATAGTTGCCAAAAACAACAGGAAAATAAACAGCAAAAGGGAGCTCTGGTGACCTAGTGGCAAGAAGCTGTGCTGTTGTTACGAGCAGTTTAAGTATAAGAAAAATATATTAATTTTGCTATAACATATATTATGATATGTCATAAGTTTGCTATGAACTTGCTTTAAAATATATTATGAAACATGTTTGTTGTGGAAAATATTATGATGGATTTGATGATGAAGTTTAGAAATAAGAATATGTGTGAGAAAATATGCTAACAGTTTAACATGCTTAAACAGGCTTTAGAGGCTGAGCACCCCAATGACCACAGTAGGTGCAAACCCTTGATAAGAGAATGTAACTGATAATGACTACCCTGTAAAGTTACTGGCTTCAGCATGTGTGAATCCAATAAGGGAATGTAACTTGTTACTGCCCATGTTGCTAAGAGAATGTAACTTGTAAATTTAAGAATAAGAAATATGTTACAAATCTGCTATATAATGTTAGAAATAAGAATAAGAAATATGTTAGGAATCTGCTGTTATATGTTAGAAATAAGAATAAGAAATATGTTAGGAACATGCTATGTTATAGGTTAGAAATAAGAATAAGAAATATATTGTGAATCTATTATGTTAGAAATAAGAATAAGAAATATGTTAGGAATCCTCTATATTATATGTAAGAAAAAAAGAACAAGAAATATGTTGGAAATCTGCTATGTTAGGAATCTGCTATGTTATGGCTAGAATATTTGTTAAAATGTTATGGTTAAGAATATTTGTGAAAATGTACTGTACAGTTGATATGCCCAAACATGCCTCAACAGGCCTCTAGTGGCTCTATGGTCCTACTGACCACAACAGGTGTGGACCCTTGATAATGAGATATGACTGGTTACCGTCCGTGTTGCCAATGAAACACAACTAGTATTGAACATGATTGGTTAAATCCACGCTGTTATTCAACACGTCAAAGCATGCCCTACTTGCCTCACCATAATGTAAAGTGGGGAAGCCAGGGTAGATAAACTCTGGCTATACCTAGCAGATCTCTCTCTGCACTTCACAATGAGCTGAACTCTGAAGACCCAAAGTCTCTTTTTAGTGCCAAATACCTAAAGGCTCTTTTCAGAGCCAAGAAGTCTGGCCTACTCTGATGGA